GCAGTTTCTTGCGTTGGAATATTCAGTGGCCTCTGAGTTCGAGCCTGAGGTTGCTTCACAGTAAAAACAACAATAATAAACCATAGCTTAGGTCCTCACATTTTGTGCTGGACATCACACAAGTTGTTTGTGTGTATCTCTCTCTGGAATCTTGCAAAATCCCCGTTTTACTGGCATCATACAGTTTTACTGATAAAGAAACCAGGTACTTAGCTAGCACCTACTAAGTTTGGCTATGAATCTAAATAGCTTAACTCCACATCGGAATTTTTACAATACTGCATTCTTCCTCCCAATTACTACTGAAGTTTAACCACATAAATATGACAACGGTGTGGGGAGAGAGAGTTAGCAGTTAGCTCCTCTTCTTCCTGGTGCTTGTCAGAACACTAGAGTTAAAGGGAAAGAGTGAAAGTTTCAAGTACACATTTTCCTTCTTAAAGAACCACCAGGATAAGGAGGACACTTGAAATCATGTTACATGAAAGCATTTGAAATTACACGGATTCAGTGCAATCATAGGAATGAGTCATGATAAAATACAAAGACACGTTCTTAAGGGTCCCATGTAAGGTTTTTGGGTAGAAGTTATGCTGAAGTAACATCGGCTCTGAGCAACAATTTGGAAGTTTCTTCAAAGCAGGCTGAGTGGATAGTGTAGGTCTGACTCCAGGAACCCGGGCAGCCAGTCCTGTGCCCCCGACACCAGGTGAGGGCTGGTGTGCTCCTCTTGTCTGGGGCAGAGCACATTTACATGCACACTGAGGATCTGACTGGCTGGGTTTAAGTTCTCTTCTGAGATTCTGAGAAGCGGCCAGTCAGCCCTGAAAGCTCTGCGTGGAGGACTGAGAACAAAGGATGTGCTGTGTCCCGTGGCTCTGCAGGCCTATAGGCGATCACACACCTGCAGCATGGCTTCCTCCTTCCAGGAGTTCCTGCTCCTCCTCTCCTCCTGCAGGAGGGTAATTCAGTGTCCACGTGACTAAGCAGGGAAGTAAACCGGACAAGAATGTCTCTGACTGTTCAGAAGAGCCATGAGAAAACAATGTAGAAAATCTTGTATTGATACCTAGAAAGAAAAGCATCAGACAGCCTTTGTGGAGCAGAAGTAAACGCTTGGACTGTTCTGTGCACACTTTGGGAGGAGACTGTGCTTCCTCGAGCAGATGCCTTGGCCCGGGTCCTGGAGTGCCGCACCCCAGTGCCACTGCCCAGGGTTTAGGGTTTCAGCACAGAGCTGTCCCCGGCCAGGGTGACCAGCCTCGCTGTGAGCATGAACTGAATTTCCATCCTGACTTCTGTGCTGCTGAGCCAAGAGGCATAGCAAACTGGGAATTACACAATAATGTTGAGTGCTTAGGGGGAAGCTATCCAATAAGATCAAATAATTTTTAAATTTCAGCAAGAATCACGGACTAGGTGTGGCCCATAATTTGAGCAAGATAGAGCAAAGTTACTATGTGGCACTTAACAGAATACAAAATTCCAGCGTGGGGTGGGTTTGTTTGAAGCTCCATTGGTCACAGTGGTTATCACATGGAGGTCAGAGAAGGTCTGATCTGACTGATCTAAAGCTTTAGCTTTACTTGTAGAATAGAACCAGATAACCCTTCTGATAAACAAACTGGTGAGGGGATAGTGCAGGCTACTCAGAATCCTAAAGCTTCAGTGATAGGTACTGCACAAAGGGCTAACGCACGACCTCAGCACCACAGAGACAGAGTGCTGAGGGTCACCCGTGCTTAGTAAGCACACTGCACAGAAGTGAAGTAAGATACGGTGAATGTCTAACTTAAAAATTGTTACAGTGAGTGGTGCATTGCCGTTAACTTCAAACATGCTTTTTCCACCACTCTTGACACTTTCTGAAGCAGCTCAGTTCAGGAAGTTCTCCTCATGAAGCCCTCCACGAGGTGTGATCGAAACACGGCACAGGTTGCTGCCCAGTGCCTCCAGCATGGAGCAAGGCCCCGAAACACACGGTTCTGCCTCCATCTCCCAGGTCCCGCACTGCGTGACTTACAGCTCTTCCTCAGAGTCTAGGAAGGTCAGCACCTGCATCTGTTCAGGAAGCTGCACTAACAGGAGGAAGGGGGCGTGAACAGCAGGAGCAGTGTCTTGACGTGTGAAGACATACTTCGAGTGGAACCCACGGCCATGTGACTTCTAATCTTTAAAATTTAAACATGCACCATATTTTCTTTTCATACCATATATCTTTCCCCCTTCCTCGCCTGGAGATGAAATCCACTTTCCCACCTTCTCACTCTGTGTTTGATGGCGCACTTGCTCTGGGAAATGACATGCAGTGAAAGGGACCCTGTGGCAGCTGAGCGGAGACACGGGGGAGCCTACTCAGCCTCCTGATTCCAGCCGTAGAGCGGCCCAGAGCCAGAGGATCTGAGCCACATCCACAACACACAGTTACCCAGGAGACCTGGCCTGCATGGTCCTGAAGACTAATAGCTTTATCCTTGGGATTACTACTAACCCCGCCCCCAACTGTCCAATCCATACAGCAGTGATGCAGGGGCTCAGAGGTGAAGAAACACCATTGACCAAAGATGTAACATGTAAGGGATCATCAATAGTAAGATTTTGAGGAGTACCCAAAGGGAGGCATGACACTGACGGGAATCCTCATGCCAAAAGACTGCTTTGTGACAGCAACAAGAAACAACATACTCAATTTTTATATCCAGACTTAAAACACAGGAGAAACCTGCGACACTGAGGTGGAGAGCAGATCAGAGATGCCGGCTGCTCAGCACATCCGGGCTGGGTACAGTCTTGGTGCATTTCATATGAGTGGTTGTTTTTCTTTCTGTGTAACAAAATCACCAAGTTGGTGTTTACAGCTGTCTTTGTATTTTTATCTCGGTTTCTCAGGGTCAGAAGTCTAGGGCCAGGTTAACCAGAGCCTGCGGAGAAACCTTGGTAGCCGATTGTTTAAAAGGAGTAAGGAGGGAGGGAGAGGAAAGCAGAGGGAGAAGGGCTTCAGGCACATGGAGCTTCAATGTCGCGGGGGGCCGGGCCGTTTTTAAAAGGGATTTCCTGGGTCAGGTCAGGTGTGCCCCGGATTATCTTCCTTCTAGTTAACCCAAAGCTAAGAAGTTAGACATTTTAACCACACACTAGTCATTAAAGGACTGTGTGCCGATCAGCTTTTCATGTCTATATCGTGTAATCTGTGCAACCACAGTCACCGTTGCCAACCTCCGATTATCTGGTTGTGAAATTCTGCATCATCGTTTTCCTTCTTTTCTCTTTTTAAGACTAAAAATAAAATCCTCGTACCTGTGTCACAGAGTGTAACATAACTGTGGAAATGTCACCCATGGCACGGGTTAGAGATGAGTCACAGAGGCCACAGCACCTGGGGAAGGAGGTTCCCAGGCAAAGCAGCCTCTGGGGAAGGGGTCACCCAAGGCCTGGACCTCTGAGTGTGGCCACAGCATGCAGCAAGCTACACCAGACAACACTCTCCCACTGAGGAAATCAGGCCCCGCACAGCACAGAGAAGGCCAGGGTGACCACAAAGCAGAGCTCCTGGTGGAGCTAAGATCGGGGAGGCGTCAGGATGAGGTTGAAACCAGCAGCCTTGACTCCTCTCTGGGTAACGTTACCCAGAAGTCAGGATGCTTTAGTGTAACAAAGCACACCCCCTCCTCCCCACCCGAGTCAGAAGAGACACCCAGAGGAGGAATTCGCACCAGCACCTGGAAGGGCTGTGCGGTGCCCTGCACTACCTGGCACCTCTCCACACACACTACAGAGCCCCAGGCAGGATGCGGGGCAGTCTGCCCTTCTGCATTGGCCAGGAGGGACATCTAGTGGCAGCAGGACACCGGGAGGGCTGTGTTAGGCAGTGCAGGCCCTGCAGCAAGTTAGTGCATCAGGGTGAGGAGTCACTCTGAGAATGTTGTGTTTGCCCTCCAGCGGTGAACCTCCTAACCCACTGCAACTTCGGAGCAAAGATATTTAGGAAGCTCTAAGCAGGCTCATGTGTCTTCAAAGGCACCTGAGAATGTTTACACAGGTAAGGAGGTGCGCTGTCACAGTTAATTGTGCATTCTGCAGGCCACCTTACATTACAGAGTGTGTGTATGTGACAGAGAAGACAGAGACAGAGACAGAGAGACCAGGCAGGTGCTGGGATACTGTGTAAGAAAATACACTTAGAAGAATTAATCAGAAGGCAGGAAGAGGACTGTGGTGCCCTGACTTCTCCCAGCGCCTTGGGACATTCTTTTGTGGACTTACCTCACCTTCCTGGATGTCCACAGTGTGTGGGCTCCTGCAAATATGGATTTTGGAATTTTAAGATAAATCAAAAACAAGCAGAGGGGGCCAGACTTGAGAAACAGAGACAAACAAAGCTTAAAGAGAAGGGGGCCCACTGATCCCCCTGGCACAGAGCTGAGGGGCAGGAAGTGGGCGAGGGTGGTGCAGTGCAGGGCTGCAGGGAGGGGCAGAGCATGGGGTGCTGGGGTGCTCCCCGCAGCCCTGGGTGAGAGGTCACTGAAGGCAGGAAGGAGGGACGTGTTTTGGAACTCACTTTACTGTAATAAGATTTTTCACAGCTGCAAGTCACGTGTTGGAATTATTTTATTTCTTATTTTGACTGCTGGCATTTTGTTCAATGCCTGACACACAGAGCTTCTGAGGGAATAAACCCTGGCTTCTACCACTTCACTGCAGCCAGGAGGAGTGATTTGTGGAACAGGTGACAGCTGAAGCCACTGTGAAAGCAGAGGCCTGCGGTGGAGCAGCGCTGAAGGCCTACGGCAGATGTCTGGGCTCTGCAGCGGGCGGGTGTGGTGACATACAGTGGTAATTCCAGCCTAGGGAGGCTGAGTCAGGAGGATCACTCTGAGCCAGAGGCCAGCTTGGGCAGCATAGTGAGTACAAGGCAGCCTGAGCCACACAGAGAGATCCTGTCTCAAAAACCAGCCAACCATACACGTGAAAAACCAAAATAAAAAGGAGCTATGGCTTACTTCCTTTTATTTTGTTATTACTGTACACATCTGTAATACATGAAATTTACACTCACCTTGGGGGGGCAGGGGCATGCGTAAGACAGCTTGAGTCTGTCATCCCTCCCGCTCCCTTCCTCTCTAAGCCCCCTTATCCCCATTTTCATCATTATCCTTTAGATTTGTAGTTAAGACCTTAAACATGTACACTCACTGCGGGTTCTTGGTGCACACACAGGAACACCTTGAACCACGGTGCTTCCCTCCCCTCACACCTCTCCTCACCCTTGGTCTCCGAGACCCCTTCCCACCTGCAAAAGCTCCGCTCCCTCATTCGTTCTCCTCTCTGAGTCCTTTGTGTGTGCTCCGCCTCACTCAATGAGAAATTCCGTGTGGCATTTAATCTCGTGTGTCTGATTATCTCAGTGACACCATGTTTTCCAGGTGCACCGCGTTTCCTGCCAAGGCCTGCAACGCACCTTCTCTCTGTCTGAGTGGTGACCCACTGTGTGCAAAACGAAATCTTCTTCATCCACTCGTCTGTTGCTGGGTATCCAGGCAGCTCCCAGGGTTTCCGGTATCACCATGCACAGCTGTAGATACAGGAAGGTGTATTCTGCATGCTGTCACGTCTTTGGCACTTTTGGAAAGACACACAGAAGGGTGAAGTCCAGGGAACCAACTTCAGTCACAAAGACAAAGACATAGGGAGCCCGACCTTTGAGGTGTGAACTATTCCCCTGCCCACCTAAACATCCCCACCTTGTCTCTTTATTTATACTTGAGCTCTTTTATCTATTTAAAATGCTTTCTCCCCTCTCACATCACCTCTCTCCATCTCCAAGGCTCACTCCCAGTTTTTCTTCACTCAAATGCCCTCTCTGCCATGTCTGGGATGGCTTCCTCGCACTGTGACATCCCATACAGGTTCGGGACTGGGTCGGAACCGCACTGTGCAGTGATGTGGGCTGGGCCAGACTCCCCCAAGCTTGGCCTCAACCTCCCCCAGTTCCCCAGGACTGGGCCAGCCCCATGCCTGACGGTGTGCTGTGCTGAGTATATAAATATCTTTTGTTTTGGGACTACAGATTGTTGGAGAGAAACATCTGTTTTATTTTCCTTCCAGGTCATTTGAAAGAAATATTGAAATATAGGAAATACTTTAACATTTTTTTTTTTTCTGGTACAGGGAATGGAACTCAGGATTTTGCACTCACCAGGAAGGTGCTGTGCCACTGAGCTAAATCCCCAGTCCAAGGAAATACTGTAACTATTAAATCAAGTCTGGTGGGAAATTGTGTGGTGGTGATCTCCCCTAAATGTATCTGAAAGGATGGAATTGAATTTCTCTGAAACTCTTCTCGGAACTGAAGGTCTTACAGCCTCCCTCAATCCCTCCCAGTTAGCGGCACGCAAGCACGTGGATGGGACTCACCCTGGGAAACACTGGGATCTCCTCCTCCCCTGCTTCCTTGGAAAAGAGCGGCCAATGTGATGTAAACAGATGTGAAGTAGAAAGGGGCAGCGAGGGCAACAAAAATGAATAAACAAACAAATAAAAGAATCCCAGAAATGGGTCAAAGTCAAGCCTTTTAAAAAGAGAAAAGCCAGGCATTGTGGTACATGCCTATAATCCCAGCACTCTAGGAGGCTGAGGCAGGAGGATCACACATTTAGCCCTGTCTAGGCAAATTAGAGAGAGAGGGAGAGAGATAGAGAGAGACAGAGAGAAGAGAGAGAGAGAGAGAGAGAGAGAGAGAGAGAGAGAGAGAGAGAGAGAGACAGAGAGAGAGGAAGGGAAGGAGGGAGGAAAGAAGGCAAGATAAAGAAAGAAAGAAAAGAAGGGTAGGTAGGTAGGGAACAATTCTAACACCAAAGGAGCAAATCTATAAGAAAAGAGAACAGAGTACCAGTCATGAGTAGTGCTAGACCACCGCTCCCCTCACCCCGCGGTTACAGCTCCCTTGGCCCTGGCCCACGGTGCATTCTGGGACTCTCTGGTCATGACACAGTCACTGTGCAGAGCAGAAGCGAGGACCCTGCAAGGAATGTGGGAAGCTCGTCTTTAATTGAAGGAACACTACCTGGGTGGTCGGCAGTTGGGGTGAAGAGGAAGTACATTGGAGTTCAGATCAAAACACACGGTTACATCTAGAGAATTTATCCTTGGTCTATAGAACAGGAAGAGGAGAGGAGAGTAAAAGTGCCTCTAGCCTGTGGATCTAAGGATTCACAGCTGGGCTTTTCTCCCTCACCAGTGATGGTGAGACTTAGAGCCCTGGATGATAACAGCCAGCTGCCACACGCAGGCCAAAGTTCGCTGCCACTGTCTTGTAGGGTGAACTGAGGGCACACTGAGTACCTCATCTAGACAGAATGACGCTGGTGCCCAAGCAGAGAAAATGCTCTCCTCGTGATAGCAAGATTTTAAAGAAAAGCTTGTACTGCACGATCACTCAAGTGGGGTTATGTGTAGCCATCTTCAGCCAGGGTAAGAACGCCTACTGTATGTGCCAGAAGACAGAGCTGGGAAATTAGATTCACACCATGGGCTCACTGCTGCCGTTCGACTGTGCCCTGTGGGGAAGTGGAGGAGAGGCAGGTAAAGGCACCGGACCTCCACACAGATGGGGCCAGGTCTGGAGGGAGAGGCTGGACTGAGAACTCCGCGGTGCACAGGCCTTAGGTTATTTCCATACGAGCACCGTGTGTATCCCAGGAAAGGGTTCCAACAGGCCCTCACTGTGCTAGAGAAGGAGCCACTTGGACGCCTTTTGCACCTTCACTCATGAAAACAGGCAGCAGCACTGCAGTGACCGTGGAACCTGACACCCATGGAACTGTGTGTGACACGTGTTTCTGCAAGGATTTAAAAGGTGACACAGCTCCAGAGTGCTCATTTCATAAGGGTTATTGCAAGCCTATTTCTCCATTACCTGGAATATGCTTGTCACAACATTTTCTTTCCTAGAACCACCATTCTCATAGTGTTTATCTTCCTCAGTCCGCCAAGGGGTGTAAGTGTCGCTTATGAGATCTGGTCTGTCCAACAGTCATGTAGGAAAAGGGTCACGCTGGCCTTTTACAGCTGAGAATCTGGAGCTCTGGTCCACACAGACTGTGTGCACAGCCTCTCGACTAATGAGACATGGTGCTTGGATTCAAGCTCAGGCCTTAGCTGGGAGTTACTTCCAAAGGAACTTGCTGAATCTCCCAGACACACATTTATATTCAAGACAAACCAAAACATAGCATTTGGCTGACACTGAATCACTGGTCCTCATCTTTGGCACTATGATTACACAGCATTTATAAACTAACTCCCCGTCCAGTCAGGCAGATACTTGCACCTCTGTGCGATGATTTAATACATCCCTTCCCACAGCAGAAGATACTGGGCTTGCAAGATACTGGATTTCCAGGCTTCTGCCTCTAAATCACTCAGCTGGGAAGAGAGTCGGTTTTAAGAAGAACATCACAGGTATGGAGGGCAGGGCTGGCATCATGCATGTCAGCAATGGTTACATTTTAACCTGAGCAATAAACAAAAGTATACCTAGGAAGGGGGTTAAGGTGGGACATGACTTATTTGTATTTGAATAAGTATCTTTTAGAAAGCATCAAATAGTCATATATAAGTTGAAAAATTTGACAAAATAACTTTTACTTTTGCCAAAATAATATTTAGATATAAAATGATTTAAACTATAATTTCAGCTGCTGAAAACATAACTACCGAGTTAAACATAACTATCACAAGCTTCAAGTCTCCCAAATTTCTATAGGGAGAATATAAATTGAACTATTAAGAAGCATATTTAATCAGAGGTAATTTTTTGTTTTATTTTTGTTTTTAATATGGCTGCAAGAACTGATGAGTTTACTTTATGTCTTCAACCTTTTTACATAGTTCAACAAGAAGGCAAAACCTGTGGGCCAGTGCTATGCCTTATGCATAATCTCCACTTAAGAAACCGATTATCTCCTGACGTCTCCAAATGCTGAATCTGTTTTGGAGTGTAAGAATACAATAGACACAAGCACATATAAAACGTTAACAGCACATTTTAGGGTACATATAAATTTACCTTTTCTGTGTGCTGGGAATTTTATAAGCAATAATCTCCTGTATCACCCCACACATTCAGCTCCAGGTCTTCTAGACCAAATTCAGGATTCTTCCCTCACGTGGTTCTCTTGCATTGTAACGTTTCTAAGACCAGCATCACCATGCGCTTATCAGCCAAACTGGGGATCTAGTAGACAATTTTTCTTTGAATTATAAAAAGTATCTCTATCTCTTATGTAGTAGAAGAGGCAAGACTTGGAGAGACCTTAAATCCTTCTTAACCATTGCCTTCTGTGATTAACGCTTATTATGTCTGTGTAGTAAAGCATGAATGCATTTAGACATATTTGGAGTAATATGATATGGTAGTATTAATAACTGGCTTTTTGGTTGTTTCTGCTTGTTTGTGTTTTGGGATCAAAGCTAGGGAGTTGCACAGGAGGCAAATATTCCCCCAGGCACTTACATGGCTCGCCCATGAAATCTAAATTTTTGCACAGATTGTGAAGTAAGGTGAATTTAATAAAATTAAAAGTCCTCTGAGAAGTAACTATTGTGCTGAAAAATTGAGTGAATTTTAATTTGTATACATCGTATTGCAATGCGACAATGCCATTTTAGATGCTGAATTACTCTTTTAATTACGCGAATTTTAAACAATAGAAAGTCAGGAAAGCAACTCTTCCCTATTATGTGGTAGCCTCATACTTATGTGCTTGTGAGGAAGGTCTTCTTTTCACCTAACAAAAATCTCTTCAGCGGGATTTCATTATTTGGTAATAAAGCCTCCTGGTAAAATTATGTTCCACTTTTAAGTATTCTTTCTGAGCCAAACTTTTTCATGAAAACAAAACAAAACAAACAATGGAGAGAAAAGGGGGAAATTATATGATGTGAACCAGCTTGTGATTCCATGCAAATTTATTATTTGAGAATTTGCTGGATGTTGGAGCCTTTCAAATGGCATCTTGGTATTAGTTCTGGCTGTGAGTGAAAATTTATTCTCAGCATTCAGTTGCTGCAGTTTCACACAATGGGAATCTGGCAATCAGGTGCTCTTAACAGGCTTATTCTTGGCCGTTTTAATCAGATTTTGAATTTTAAAGCAATCCCAATTTGGCTTGATAGTGTGTCTGAGAAAAATGTACTCATCTCCCGTCCCTGGTTACAGTGACAGTTCCGGCTTTGGGATGGATGTCGGGCGGCCCTATCTTCAGCTTGCCTGTGGGATGCATCCGCCGTGTCTCATTAAAAATTGATCAGGGTTGGCTTCGCTGAGCACTTCCAAATGTCAGGATCCGCATTATGTCCTTTTGCTTCACATAAGGAACTGTCTTGCTGTCAGCTTGTTGCAGATTTTTTTCCATTTTCTGCAAGGTAACTCATAGACGACAGTGTAGATGCGGTTCCCTCTGGCCAGGGCACTTGTCTGGCCTTGTACTGAGCAGCACTGATGTGGCCTGCATCATGATTTCAGGCAGAATCCACCACAGAAGATACCACTCTCCTTCTGGGCTTTGGTCC